AGCTTTTCGAGTTTCAATCATTCTACTTATGTTCATTTCAGTATTCCTGCTGTTCATTTAAGGAAGTTTTTTCTTGCAGTATATAGTTTTTAGTACTTATTCTTTCCTTTTTTTATTAAGATAATTTTTTCATTCATTTTACACACCAAAGATCCCCCTCTTCCCTCCTCCCACCCCCAGCCCCCCTCCCAACCCACCCCCCACAAGAAGGCAAGGCCTCCCATGGAGAAGTACATCCAGTAGAGGCAAGTCCCAGGCTCTCTCCCTGCCTCAAGGCTGCACCAGGTGTCCCATCATAGGTAGTGGGCTCCTAAAAAGCCTGCTCATGCACCAGGGATGAATTCTGATCCTACCGCCAGGTGGGCCCCCAAGCAGATCAAGCTACACAACTGTCTCGCCATGCAGAGGGCCTAGTCCAGTCCCATGCAGGCTCCACAGCCATTGATCCAACTTTCATGAGTTCCCACTAGTTTGGTTTGGTCGTCTCTGCAGGTTTCCCCATCATGATCCTGATGTACTTGCTCATACAATCCCTCTTCTCTCTCCTCGATTGGACTCCTGGAGCTCTGCCTGGTGTTTGGCTGTGGATCTCTGCATCTGCTTCTATCAGTCACTGGAGAAAAAAGCTCTGTGATGACAGTTAGGGTATTCACCGATCTGATCACTGGGGTAAACCAGTTCGGTTATTCTTTCCTTTAAATGATGACCGTCAAGCCCTGGTAGACACCTCTCAATGTCTTCAGTGTTTACTGTACCTTCTTTGACCTTTTAAGTCTTATTTTGAAGACTTGTGTCCTTTCACTTTAATGAAGTTTAAGGTTTGTTCATTCTTATTTTCTTTCTAGTTTAGTCTTAAACTATCTAAAACCATTCCTTTTTGAGATACACTTCTCATACCATACTATGTGTCTACTTAAATTGAGCACATATTCACAAATATATCAACTTCAAAAAACTTAAGTTATAGACAAAAACAAACCCATACCTTCCATCTTCCATTCTTCCACTCCATAAATGATCAAAACCCCCTTCTATCTTTATAGATATCCCTTCCTAGAGATTTCATGTAAAAAAATCATAAATGTGGCAATTTATAAAAGCTGGATTTTTCCTGCATTCAGCATGTTTTAAGGCGTATCCAATATTCCATTCTATGGCCAAATATGTTTCATTGTATGTATATTATCACTTTCTTTATCAATACATCCACAGATGAATATTTGGGTTGTTTCTGCCATTTGGCTTTGTGGGTAATGCTGGACTCAAGCTAGAGCCTCCATTCCATAATCAGGAATGGTATCAGAAAGGAATTTTAAGGGATTTGGGGAGATGCCTCAACCAATAAAGTGCTTGTAGTGCAAGTGCGAGGGTCTGCACTCAGCTGACTAGCACTGATGCAAAATCTGGGTGTGGGGGCATGTTGGTCACCTCAGTGTTGGGAAAGTGGAGGCAGATGTACCTGCAGGCTTGCTAGCAGTCAGTGAAACCAAAGGCTCCCAGGTTTACACACAGACTTTGACTCAACAAAAACAAAAACAAAACTACGGTGGTGAGTGATAGAGGAAGATACCCAAAGTGCACTTCTGGTCACCACATGCACTTGTAAATGTACCCACCTGTCAGATGTGCTGACACACACATATACAACACGAGACCCCACCCCAACTGAAAAGTGTAAAGGAATTCTAACCAAGAAACAAAGACATTTTGCATTTTAGATAATCACTCTCATATTCTGGTTTGAGGTCTGCCACAGGTGAAAATGACAGCACCATGAAGCTACAAGCCAATGAGCCTGGACTGGTTGGGATTTCACTTCCTTTTATAAACCATCAGCAACAATTTCAAACAATGTGAAGCACACAGTTTGGTTCATGTGTCAAGGAGATCTGTAGATGTCAACAGTCTGGACACTGAGTTGGTTTGGGACATGCTAGTCTAGGCTTGAGAGGGCAGACCACAGAGAAGAGAGTAGTTGTCCTGTATAAGGAACTTGAGTGTGCGTGTAAGGGCCAGTAGTGATAGCTACATAAAATCTAACCCTCTTATTGTAGACAAATACACTTCTTTATAAGCCGGTGGACAGGATGGCTCCAAAAGACTCAGACACCCTAATGCATGCAACCTTTGGTTACACTCTGTTAAATAGCAGAAGAACAGACTACAGATCTCCAAAGTAGGGAGGCCACCTTGTGCATCTGGGTAAGTCTGTTCTAAATACAAGAACTCATTTAAAGCAATGGGTCTTTGCTGGCTGGGACACGAGAGCTGTGGCAGGAAGAATTTAGAGCTTCAGTGTCTGAGAAGGACACAATCCAGCAGTGCTGGAAGTGGGACATGTGGAGAGTGGGAGGAATGTCTGCACCTTCTAGAAGCAGACTGGCCATGAAGTAAATGAGGGCAGTCCTACTGATGCTGCAAGGAGCAGGTGCCCTGCAGACCAGGGGACAGACGCTCTGCTCACATGTTAGTACTTGGAGGAGGCTGGGAGAACAAGTGTCCTCAGAGCCTCTGGAGAAGAGCCCACCCTGGCTCACAATCCTTACTGGGCTTCTGCAGAGGGCCCAGTGAGTCACCCAGCACCACCCTGAACACAAGCATGAAGTTTAAAGTCATTAAGTTGGTGATGATTTTTTTTTTTCTGGTAGCAGCAGTAAATTAAAACGAAAATGTATTTTTTTTTTAAAAAAAATCAAACATTCCAATGACAGTCTTCACAGAAATAGACAAAACAACCCTACATCCATAAGGTACAACAGAATCCCAATGTATTGGTTACTTTTCTATTGCTGTTATAACACCACACCCAGAAGCAAGTTATGGAAGAGAAGGTTTGTTTTGGCTTATCGTTCCAGAGGGCTGGAGTCCAGCACGGTGAAGAGGCATGACAGCTGCCACAGGAAGCAGAGTTCAACCTCAACCACAAGCACAAAGCAGAGAATGAACTAGAGTGAGGCTATATCCTCTCAAAGTCACCACCACCAGTGACCTACTTCCTCTATCAAGGCCACACCTCCTAAACCTCCCCAAACAGTGCCACCAACTGGGAACCAAGCATTCAGACACCGGAGGCTCCAGGAGACAGTTCTCATTCAAACCATCACACCCAAATAGCCAAGAGCATCTCAATACCTGACTTAACACCACACCACAGCACTAGAGTGACAAGCACAGCATGCTACTAGTACAAAAAGAGACTCACAGGCCAATGGCTAGAACAAAGTCCCAGACACAAACCCTTACAGTTATACACATCCGATTTACAACAGAGACGCCAGAAACACACCCTAGAAAAAGGCAGCCTCTTGAACAAAGTGGTGCTGGGCAAACTGGACATCTGTCTGTGGAAAAATTCAGGAAACCAATTCTAACCAGACAGAAGGCTTTGACTTAACACCTGAGGAAGACACTGGCAGTACAGGCAACGATGGGGCAGGAAATGAGAGCAAGAGCTGCCAATGGACTGCACGGAATTAAAGATTCTGCACAGCAAGTGGAACAATCAGCAGGGACAGGACGGCCGACACAATGGGAGAGAACAAACCTGTGCCAGCCACCTCACTGACAGGGGATTAATGTCTAGAATATATAAAGAATTAAAGAAAAAAAAAAACACCTGAAGAGCAAATCTTCTAGTCAACAAATGGGCAAAAAACTGACAGCGGTCTGATTCTCAAATCAGACTCCATCTTGGGAACTACTAGTGTGTAACCTGATATATGAGCAGGAATCATCCAAAGGGTGCTCCTAGCTTCTCTTTTGCTCTAAAGTACAAAGGAGGAGGAACAATGAAGAGACACGGCAGAGGGGAAACGTCTCTTCAAGTGACTGGAGCAGGACTGCAGGGGAAAGAAAAAGGTTAGAAAAGACGCAACATAAAGACACTCGTGAAAGAAAGTTAACTGACTGACATATTACCAATGAATTACTGAAAAAAATAAAAAAGATGGTACACACCTCCTTCCAGGGGAAAAAGATGGCGGGGTCACAAGGAGCTGAAGTCCCTGTGAGCAACAGGGGCTGCAGCTGAGCCGCTGGACTCCTGCCTTGGAAGAGGAAGACACAGGAATAATGGGTTCAACCAGCCATTTGCCAGCAGAGGCTTCACAGGCAGCATGCTGGTCTTTGGGAAGCTAATGCTGCATTATTGTTAGTTGGCCATTCATTCCGAGATGGTAGCTATTTACAAAACCATTCATGGAAACCAGGGACGCCTCCCGATGCTGTCTGTATAAACACTGCTACTGCATGGATTAGCACACAGAGTGGTGACCACCTATGCATCCAACACAGCCCTCTGAGAAGCTCTTGACACTCCCTGCTCAGTTCCAGGTCTGAGAGCCCGGAGGGCTCCCTGCTGATCTGCCAGCTGCTGGGGAGGCAGCCAGCCTGAAAAGAACCATTGAGGACAGAATGTTCCTCCTCTTCCCAGCTGGTGTGGATGGGCTGCAGAAGGATGAGTGATTATCTCAGGCCATGGGCTGGATGCCACACTTCAATCTTCGCTGATACCTCTGGTCTGGGCTTAGAAACAGTTGTTAATGTTCTGGCAAGCTCTTTCTACACCTAGTTCCAAGGTGCAAGTGTGAAGCAAATTCCAGTATTTTTTATTGGTATCTTAAGATTTTTAAAATTGTATTTATTTAGTGTCTGTGTATGTGTGTAGGTGCATTGCCACTCTGCAAAAATGGAGAATACCTCGTAGGAGTCAGTTCTCTTCTTCTACCATCTGGGGCTTAGAAAGTGAACTCTACTGGGGTCTTTAAAATCTCCTTTAAACTCAGGCATATAGCACACACCTGTAATCCCAACACCAGGAGGCAGAAGCAGGAGGATTGCTGCAATTTCAGGCCAGGCTGGTAAACATAGCAAATTTCAGCCCAGCTGAAGCTACAAAGTGAGACTCTCAAAAAAAAAAAAAAAAAAAAAACATAAATAAAATTCCCTTTAAGAAAGCCACTTCATTTGTTACATTTCAGCCACATGTCCAACACAAGGAATCAAAATATGAGAGAATAATTTTATTCTACTCTGTATCAATGCCATGGACATCCACAGAAGTGGATCACCAATAGTTACAGCATTCCATGTTTTAAGATTAATAAGGACATACACCAACAATTCCTGAGTAAACAGTGCAGTGTAAAATTTAATCTATATTGCTCAGAAGACATCTTGCAGCATAGAAAGTGATCAAATGATTGCTATCATGTCATAAAATACAGGTGTTTACTGCAGAACAGTGATACAATTGCAGTGGTAAGGAAAACTTGCAGTTCATAACAAAGGCTCTTGTATGCACCTGCTGCCATGATTGACATTCCAGGTCGGGCATCAGGAGTCAAATAAGTCACGGTACAAAACTAACCAAGTTACCTGTACTGAAGACACATGACTTCATTCCAGAAATGGAAGCCTGGTTAACCTTTCGTACATACAAAACTTCTTTTAAAAAAATCCTAGGCAATCACAAATATAAACTAGTTGAATAAAAGACAATGGCAGCTTTTCGTTATGCTGTAAAACCATGGATCTCATCAGTGGAAAAGTTAAGATCATGCAGCAACCTGAAAAACAGAAAGTGTATGATTTTTAGGGAAAGTGTTTACAAATAGAGACGTGAGATCAAAGCTTGCCAACATACCCTCCTCATTTTCTCAAGTCGTGTTTGGTTTTTAAAAACACAATGATCACACCGGAAACAATTTCTAAACAGCACTGGATAGTTAATGAGTATTCAAATTATCAAGTTTCACAAATGCCACTAAGTTTAAATGATTTGAATCAACATCCAATTATAACTCACTCAATGTAAAAACAAGCCTTTGGAGACATTTGATCTATCGCTAAGATCCTTCTTTCTCTTCTGCCCCCCCTCTGCCACACTCTGCAGTTTACTGGCTGAAAACCACGGGTTTTTACTGTGGCTCCCTACAGTCTTCTCTGCTGCTCTCCCATGGCATTCTTCAATAGCATGGCCTTGTGTCCTCTCATTCCTCACACATACTGAGCGGATGGAGTCTAGGACTTCATCACATCCAGGTTTAATTCTTTCTGGCTACTTCATACAGAGTGTTGGTACTGTAATAGGCACAGAAGACATGGTGCCTCTCTTATGAGATGCTAGCACCCACTGGTGATCTATGTATGAAATTCTAAGAGTCTACTTCCATCATTCTTTCTTCATTGATCAACTGAAGGATTCCAGAAAGAAAACCCGCTCTGTGGCTCTGTAGCTATCCAGCAACATGCTCACAGACAAAAAGGAAGAATAAAGGAATATAGTTCATATAGAAAAGGCGGAATAAAGCTTTATTTTCCTTCCTTTACTCGCCAGTTTTAAGTAAGTAGGAAAACATACTGCTGAAATACACTTCAGCTTGAAAAGTCCTACAAATAGAAGTGGCTGCTGGAAATAATCATTATTTCTTGGGCCCTTTCTGTGCAGAGCAGGAGCATCCACACAAAGGGCCCACGTAGCACAGGGTCAGGGCACTGCAGTCAAGCCTCTCGCTCTGGGAACCCACCCTATTTTTCGAGACATGTATACTGTCTCTCACAGGCAAGGACTTTACTGTAACCAGACAGCCTACTCATTTGAATGCCTTTAACACATCTGTTTCTCTCTGCCCTTTCCTACTTTCTGACTGCATTTTTTTGGGGAGGTAGTTTGTATGTGGTGCCATGAATGACAATGATAAGCAAATACTCTAACACTGAGCTACATCCCTATCACCCTTCTGGTTTGTCTTTTGCGACAAGGTCTACTAAAATAGCTCAGGCTGTCCTGGCCTCCAGAATACTGGAATTACAGGTGTGCACATCAATCCCAGTTCTGACTGGTGTTGGCCATCATTTGTAATAGGTCCTTTATGACCACATGGCTCTGGTCTCCTCAAAACACAGACCCCCAGGTGACAGTACCTGACTCTATCTCTGGTGCTCCAAGTTGTATTTCAGTCAAATCTGTCTCATCACAGGACAGTGTGAGCCTCTGAAGTTGAGTCTACATATCCATGTCTTCAATGCAAGGTAGTGAGTGGATCAAAGCATGTTATTGGCCAAGGAATTCTAAATTGTTTGATTTTGTTTTTTAAAGTACAGTCTTCTAAACCTTTATTACACAAATTGCCAAGTGCTAATGAAATGCAGAGGGTATGTTTGGGATATAGCTAGTTAGTCAGCTATACTGAAGGGACTGGATTTAGGCCTGCCATAGACACCAAAGTTTGCATACCCTGACCACCCTCATGTAAAATGTCAGTGTATTTGTGTCCTATGTACGGACATCTCCCAAGATACTTTCATTTACCTCTGGATTAGTTACAATAAATGAAAACATGTAAATGCTATATAGCTCTGCTGTGCTGCCCAGGGAGTGACGACAGCAACTGTGCACATGTGTGGCACCAGCACAATGTCTAGAGTATTTTAATCCATGGCTCCAGAGGACCTGGAGGAGATGGAGAACTGAATTCTATGCAACATGTAGCAGACATGAGATGAAGTCTGGAGGTCCTAGAAAAGGATGGCAAGAAGTTGATTTTACAGAACAAAACCATGATAAAGTAAGAGCCTCTTGCCACTGTTGATATGAAAGACACATTAGCTGGGCATGATGTATTCCTTAATCACAGAGGCAGAGGCAGAGGCAGAGGCAGAGGCAGAGAGGCAGAGAGGCAGAGAGGCAGAGAGGCAGAGATGCAGAGAGGCAAGGAGGCAGAAAGGCAGAGGCAGAGACAGAGGCAGGCATATTTCTGAGTTTGAAGTCAGTCAGGGCTACATACTGAGACCTGGTCTCAAAAACAAAGAAAGACGCACTCCATTAAGATGGTAAGGACAAGAAGACATCAGGGGAATGAGTCTGATCTCAAAGTCACAAGGGAGATTCTATGAAATGAAAATACTGATCTGGGTCAAGTCACCTTGACGGGCAGCTTGGTGTAGCTGGCTCAGGGTAGGTAATCTCAGGGTGCCACAGGGCATGGTTAAGATTCTGCTGAGCCTCCTAGACAAGCCAGGTCAGCAGTGCAGGATTAGTTTTGAGGCAACATTTAGAGAAGAGCTGAGGAGATTACAGTTGCTACAGCATTTAAAAACACTACAGTCAGGACAACCTACTCTTTAATGTGCAGATCCGGTGTGCAGAGGAGTGGCTATGATGTGTAGAAACAAAGGAACAAAAATGAGGAAGACACAGCCCCAAGCTCGAGGGGCCACCAACAAGGGGGAGGAGTGGAGATGTACAGGATGGGTGTGCGGATCCCTCTGTGGTCATCTTTCCACACTGAAGGTCTGACGTTTCCATCACCTAACACTATCACCGTAGCCTACAAACTGCTCTGAGACACCTGAGCCAGAGCTCTAACTCGGTGAGAGGGTAGCACTTAGCCTTGATTTCCTACAAAAGTAAATGCTTCTTAAAAAATCAGAGTCAGGGGTTTTTGTAAATAAATTTTGCAATAAAATAAGACTCAAATTATCTAGAAAATGTTAGGTTTATACAAAACAAATTTAAGGAGAACTTAAAATCTAAAAATCCAGTATTTTTCAGTGTCATTTTAGAGAATCAGATCATCTAAGGTGGTTTTCATTGTGTGGTCAACATGGGTCTTGCTCACTTATGTCGTACAATCTAACAGCTTCATTTTGACTTGCCACCTGGCTGGATCACTATAGTTTAGTCACCAACTCCTACACAGCGCAGAGAGTAAAGATAGAGAGCCACACTGAAATGAAAATGGCTCACTCAGTTACTTACATTAAAGTTGGTAGAAGATGACATCAAGAGCCCAATGTCCCAAACGAGACTGTGGCACTGATCTGGGGACTCTTCCTACTGACAGCCATGGGCAGAGGACACTAACTGCTGGCTGGTTTTGCTTTTCTAGCTAATGCTAAGCATAATCCAGGCCCCAACCCCTGCTCCTAGTATGAAGACTGGAAACGCCACTATTTTCACAGCTGCCACAGCTTTTTAAGTGTATGTTGGCACGGCAGGCAGAACCAAAGGGCTTGCTGAGTGCTCTCTACATGAGCTCCCACTGCAGACTTCCAGCTCCCTCACTGCCGCTCACCTTATGCCCTCATCTGTAAATGGTGTTGGTCCACAGATGCAAAGGAAGACTCTGGAGTTCTCTGAACTTCTTTGCAAAAATTCAGAGAGAAGAGCTGGTGACACGTGTCCCTGTTTGCCACTCCACTCTGAAGAAGGTGCTGAGAGGACAAATTCAACATCAACTCTAGGACAAGAGAAGAGAAGAGAGTTCTCAAAGGCTGTCATTTCAAACCCACTACTGTCTTCTATGGCTGTATTTCCAATGAACCTTTCATTACAATCAAATTGCTAAGCTATAAAATCAGAGTAAACAGGCTCTAATCTGCAGCGGATACCCATTCCTAACCTTCATTTACTAGTAGGCTTTTTAAAAGAAGGCTAGCCAACCAGCGGCATCATTTCTATAAGCATCTACTGAGACAATGGTGAGACACTGAGCTCCCTATGTACACAGCATACACTTATCATGCCTTTCATACTTGTCACAGAATGGTCCTTCCCTACAGTCTGGTACTCAATGAACAAAATGAAAAGGCAGCACAGGTCATTTAAAGTCACTGTGAAGGTGCTGCTGTCCTTCACCCAGAGTGGGGGCAGGTCCACATCTCTTTCACATAAGAACGGATCACTAGGCTGGGTGTGCTGGGGCAATCTGCAGACAGCACAGAAATTCAAAAAGTGATGCCTGTTCTTCCTTTGGGCACAAAAACAACCTGTCCTTTGTGACCCATTCCTGAGCTGCCAGGGATTCCTTTCTTTCTTGCTTGATTCCAATGGAGAACTAAGGGTGCTACCAACATCAAATGATGCTGCCGGGACAGCATTCTGTGCTGAAGACTTTGGTCAGAAAGTATTCCCAGCCTGAGAACACTTTCACCAGTGACTCTTCAGTTAGGGGAGTATAGAAGAACTTCTCACCATGTCCAACAGCAACAGCTGGTTAAATAAATTATGGTATGTTCACAGACAGAACACAATGCTGTTATCATTAAAAATCATGGTACAATACAGGGCTTCCCAGCCCACACTTCTGGCATTTTGAGCCATTCCTGGCCTTTAATAACTACATGCCAGTAGCCCCTCTTTCTCCAGCTGTGACCATCAAAAACAAAAACACAAACACAAACAAAACAAAACAAAGAAACAACAACAAACTCTCCAGGAGCTAGAGAGACGGCTCAGCAGTTAAGAACACTTTCCGCCCTTGCAAAGGACCCCCCATTCTTTCCCCAGCACCTACATGGCAGTTCACAACCATCTGTTATAGTCAAGTTTTCTCCAGACCGCCTGGCCGTACAGTCCCTCAGCCATTTATGAAATAATCACTCAAAGGCTTAATATTATTTACAAACTTATGGCTATGGCCTATGGCTCAAGCTTCTTGCTAGCTAGCTCTTAAATCTTAAATTAACCCATTTCTATTCATCTATAAGTTGCCATGTGACCGTGGCTTTACCTGTGTGCCATTACATGCTGCTTCCTAGATGGCAGGATGGTGTCTCTTCTGCCTCTGCCTTTCTTCTTCCTGTCTCTCTCCTTGGATTTCCCACCTACCTCTAAGCTGCCTTGCCATAGGCCAAACAGCTCTATTTATCAACCAATCAGAGCAACACATATTCACAGCATACAGAAAGACATCCACAGCAATCTATAACTCCAATTCTAGGGAATCTAATGCCTTTGTCTGGCCTTTTTGGGCACCAGTCACTTATGTGGTACACCTACATATATGAAAGAAAAACACTCATACACATAAAATAAACAAATCTTTAAAACAGTAACAACGAAGCCGGGCGGTGGTGGCACACGCCTTTAATCCCAGCACTCGGGAGGCAGAGCCAGGCGGATCTCTGTGAGTTCGAGGCCAGCCTGGTCTCCAAAGCGAGTTCCAGGAAAGGCGCAAAGCTACACAGAGAAACCCTGTCTCGAAAAACCAAAAAAAAAAAAAAAAAAAAAAAAAAAAAACAGTAACAACGAAACCAATCTCCAAACCGAAGCATCCCTGAGGATGACGGATACGCCGGGGCCTCAGGTTGACAGAACATATTCTATGATCAGATACACTAAACGAGAATCACTCAGCTGCTAGGTTCAATCATAGGCAGGAGTAAAAACAAATCCTCAATACTTCAGCCTAAGCAACCAACAACCCAATTATGAAGACCAAAACAAAAACATGTTCACAGGTACACGTTCCTTCATAACAGTTAATTAAAATTAACTCTTATTAACAGGCTAAGGGATAATATCTAGACATTAAAATAAGTCTCTTAAATTTTATAAAATTTCTCTTTAAGGAACCTAACAATACTTCTGCCAAAAATTTACTAGAAACATTTATTTATTTTAAAGCTTACCCATGTCTGTTTAAAATCTTTTAAATGTTTGGGCAAACAAGGGTTCTAGTAAGGCAAACCATTCTCTCCTTTATAGAGGGCCCATTCTAACCCCCTCCAGAGAGGGCTCGGCAGTTCCCAGAGCATTTACATGGTCTCCAAACCTCACAGCTGTGGGGTAAAGCAAGCAGGCAGGGCCACTGTTTGGATCTGAAGATAAAGGCATAGGCAACGATGCTAAGCAATTTTTAAAGAAGAGTTCAAGTGATCAGGTTTATTTTTAATTAATTTTTAAAAGATTATTTATTTGTTTTGTTTGTTTGTTTGTTTTTCGAGACAGGGTTTCTCTATGTGGCCCTGGCTGTCCTGGAACTCACTCTGTAGACCAAGCTGGCCTTGAACTCAGAGATCCACCTGCCTCTGCCTCCCAAGTGCTGGGTTTAAAGGCATGCACCACCACCTCCTGGCTTAAGATTAATTTTTTTATTGTATATGAATGAGTGTTTAGCCTGCATGTACCTTCATCCATCAGGTGAGTGTGGTGCTGTGGAGGTCAGAAGAGGCATTGGATCCCTGGAAATGGAGTTATGGATGGTTGTGAGCCACCATGTGAGTGTTCTACAACAGCAACAAGGGCTCTCACTCACTGAGCCAGCTCTCCTGCCCCTGAAGCAGGAAGGTTTAAAGCTGAGAACATGGGAACTAGGGTTTGGTCTACAGGCTTCCCGGTCAGTGTTTACCAGTGTGAAAGCTTGGAATTTGGTTATCTGTATTTCTTGAATTCATTCTTAGCTGCCTCCCCAGAACAAATATGCCCAGGTAGAGGCTTTAGCCAGGTTAAGAACAGTAGTGCTTCAAGGCTAAGCATGTTCAAGTCACAGCCTTAACTTATGAGCCATTCACTCAAGGAGACAGAGGATTGTGGGAAGTAACAGAGAGCAGAGCAAGGAGCCCCACAACATTACCTATTACTGACAGTCAAGGACCTGAGTCCCCAGGCCTAGGAATGGTGGCGCTAAGGGCATTCGGGCTTTTCAAGGACTGGTAACTTGACTTTTATGACACTATATGAACATAAATAATCACCTCAGATATTCTGTGCAGCTTAGGAAGTCCTGACATTCTGAGAAATAGATGACTGTAGAAATGCTTTAGAAAGTATGGTGGCCCGTAGCTCAATGTTCTTGAATCTGTACTGCTTGCAGCTGCTGCCTGTGCTATGCAGTTTCCTTCTTTCTGTAACGACACAAGCTCTTGCTGTGCTACTGTTTCCCCTTGAGTTCAGCTGGACAAGATCTGCTTTCTACTGATAATGCCAGCATCAAAAGAAAACACCTGACATGGCTGTAATACCCATTAACTCAGTCAACTCAAAATGAAGACTGCTGCTGAAAGGGGTGAGCCAGGCATCTCCCGTATAGGCACAGAGATGTGGCTTCCTAGAGGACACAAGAGACTCCAGAGCAGTCAGCAATGCTCAACCATGCTCCAGCTACTGGCACACTTTCTTCAACTGCCCCAGTATATAGGAAAATTTAAACTTGAGTTAACAGGTTCAGTACCTTTTATCTTTAAGTGCTAATTTCTCTAGTTGGCATCTCCAAATTATATCGTCCTCTGTTTTATTGAAGAACATCAACTTCACCTTCCTTAAAAAGAAAAAAGGAAACCTCATTTTATAGTCACTATTACATTTAAAAATATGCACACGTGGAAATGAACTTTGTGAATGCTTTTAGGTAGCCCAGATTATAAACCAACCAGTATATGGTCAGCAGGAGAGGAGGAGGCAGAATAACAAATGACAGAAGGGCTATGAGAGTAAGTGAACTAACTGTCCATTACAATGAATGCCTGGCACTGGTGAACTGCCCATATACAATGAATGCCTGGCACTGGTGAACTGCCCATATACAATAAATGCCTGGCACTGGTGAACTGCCCATATACAATAAATGCCTGGCACTGGTGAACTGCCCATATACAATGAATGCCTGGCACTGGTGAACTGCCCATATACAATGAATGCCTGGCACTGGTGAACTGCCCATATACAATGAATGCCTTGCACTAAGAAGCCCCCAAATAACAGTCATCAGAAAGAAGGGACATACCTGAGGCTGGACATGGAAGTCAAAGCGTAATTGAGTACATTAACCATTGGCGTGAAGCCTGTTCCAGCTGCCAACAAAAAGAGATCTTCTACATCCTGGAGTTTAGATACTTTAAAATTGCCCTCAGGACTGCTTACAGAAACAAAATCTCCTAAACAAACAAATGAAATAAACAAAATCAGAAAACAAAACAACACAAAAAAGCTAGAAGGGAAACGGGGACAGAGGACTGATGAGTGACAGGATGGCTACTCGACCTGTGAACGCCACATCAATCTACAGAGTTTGAGAGGAGTCTCAGAGGCCATCATCAGACATCCAAGCATGTTGGGATTCTATCGCCATAATCAGACTAATGAGCAATTAATACAAGGTAGGTAGAGAATAGATACTTGCTATTTACACACTGGTTAGTAACCACAGGGCCAAGCTTAGCAGGAGAGAGACTGGAAACAAATGTATTCTAAAGTTGTACATTGGTAGTGGCATAACTTCTCCACTAAAATTTGAAAAGACCTATCAGCTGAAACAGGAAGAGCCTTATGAGCTTAACTCCCATGAAAACAGCAAGACCAGAAACCAACTGTACTTGGGCAGTAGAAAAATGAGTGCCCAGTTTCTGTGGTGATCAGTTGACAGGACTGTACATCCCCCACACGGAAAAACTGTACATGCCCCTCACAGAAGAATACCACCACCAGGGGTACATTCAGAAATCTCCAATGTAACTTGAAAAATAAAAAAAACCAAAACTGTTCATTTGAAGTTATTTCAAATACTGTATCTTAAAATGTTTGGGTCTTAGAATTTCTTTGGCTTTCCACCACAAGATAGTAATAACAGTACTAAGGGACAATCACACTATAGGATTTCTTTTTTTTTTTTTTTTTTTTGGTTTTTCGAGACAGGGTTTCTCTGTGTAGCTTTGCGCCTTTCCTGGAACTCACTTGGTAATCCAGGCTGGCCTCGAACTCACAGAGATCCGCCTGGCTCTGCCTCCCGAGTGCTGGGATTAAAGGCGTGCGCCACCACCGCCCGGCAAGATTTCTAAGTTGACTTTCAGAAGTAACATTAAGACTTCAGTGACAGGCTGCCCTGCTGCCCCAGTGTGAGCTGATGCTGACAGAGAATGAGGAAGGACATTTTTGCCATTAAGGCAAAAGGAATTAAAAGGAGATAGAGAAAAAAGAGAAAACACAGAGAAAGGGTCAGAAACAAGAAGGGAAGTGTTTGCATCCTCAGAGACATGAGGATCTGTCATCCAGTCTTGCTGGCTCTATTTCCTGATAGCTTAGCAAGTGCCAACTGTCATGCCAGGTCTTGGAAATAAGACAATTGCTACCTGTAAATGTCAAATCTTACAAACAAGCTGTGTGCTTACTCTTACAACAGAGCATGAGCCACTGTTAGCAATGATTCAGAGAAGGAGGGCTTCATATTGGAAGTGCCATTCTGTTGACTCTTTAGAAGAAGGAATACAACAAAGGAAAGGCTGATGGGATGAGAGTCCTAGAGGAACCCAGGAACAAGGATAACAAACTGAGGCTGCAGGGAACACAAAATCTAGAGCCTAGCAGTCCTTGTAAGCCTTGCAGGGGAGCTGAGCAGAACAGGTAAAGAGGATCCACCACCAGAGGCTTCAAAGTGGGGAGCAGCAAAAGTAAGTCTATCCTCAGAGGAGCTTGGAGAAGTTACTGGAAAATGCAGATGAAGAGAAAGACACCAGTTAGAGCCATGTGAGAGATCGGTTAGAGGACAAAACAAAGGCTGGAGGCTTGCTTTCAGAGCACAGGGTTGGGAGGAAGGACGACATCAAACTTGGCGGCTGACTGGATTGGGGGAATGAGCAAGTCTCCAGAGCAGGGCAGAGATGAACAGAGATGCTGCAAATAATGAAGACAGAGGACATGGAGTACCAGACGACGAGAAGATGACATCCACTGCAGACACGCTGAGGTTAAGATACAGAACAGACTCCCACAGGAGCTAACAGAGGGTCTCTGATCCACTCTATGGTACAAACAAGGCTACAAATCAACATTACTGACCGATCTGAAGACGATCAAGTTCTGGTGTGAAGAGTCCATCAGGATAGATTTTGATCAAAAAGTAGATGTATTTATTTGGGGGAAGAACTGGTTCTTTAAAGTCTGAGAGTAAGGACTCAGACACGGGTGTATATGGCTTTACTATTTCTGCACCTGGAAAAAAATCAAAACAAAGAAAAGTGTAATACTTTTAAAAAGCTCTTAATGAACATAAAACAAAAATTTTATGATGTTATCAGTGTGTGTTTAAAATTAATGTGTATATCCCTCCAACAAGATGCTCCAAATCCATGTTTCAATTCAAGGCTATAATTTTAACAAACCGATGCTTAACCACTGTACAGACAATCTTTTAAAAACTAAGTATGATCTATAATAATGAATCTAGGTAAAGATATAAGGTTTGTAACGGGCCACAATAAAATGGCATCAAAAATTTTCCATGGAAGTGTTAATAATAAAGACAGAACAATTCCAAATATAAGCACATATTTAGCAACAGTTAGTGGTCACCAATGAGATCACTAGGGAAAGAAAGGGAGGCATTTCACTTTTAATTTTACATATTTTGAATTGTATAATGTTCTAAAATTATTATTTTGGCACCTGAATGAAAGGAACGATAATCCAATGATCTCATGGGATGTGTTATTTTTTAAAAGTAAAATGAAAATAAATTATATAGATTTAACCAAATTCTAAAGAAAAGAGTCACCAAACATTTGAAAGACCAAAATTTCACACATGACTCTAATTTCTTCATATGTAACTTAAAGCTCATGGGTTAAGAACTATGCTAAGGAAGACAGCAGCTCATGAATGGCAATCGGCATTAGTGATGATGAAGAGAAAAACCTAACAGTATTATCAGGAAACATCACCTACACCAACTCCCAGCAGGGAGTCTACAAGATGGACCATGCAAACACAGACTGAAGTAAGGATTCTGCAGCTTCAAGAGGCCAAGATATGTTGGCTATAGTAATAATTGGGGTAAGTGAAATAAGTAAATGAAGATATTTAGGATGAAATAAGGGAGAAAGAATCCACACAGCAAGGAACACAGTTTTGAACATCTTCACCTGGCAGCATACATAAGGAAATCATGTGCAATTATTCTATAGACTCAAGCTCACGTGGTGCAGCCCCTAGGAGACAGCAGACACATGTCTGTTTCTCGTGGTACTCCCTGTGGTACTCCTGTGGAGGACCATGGTGTGCTCACTCCCTCTTGCCCACTGCAGGCAATGTGCTCCAGGTTATCAGTAGCAAAGACAGTCCTGACACTCCTGTGTCCACAAACCCAGAGGCTTCCTGACAGTAAAGCCAGGTGCCCAGAAAGGTCAGTAACTTAGATGACTGTGCAAAAGAACATGTCCCCCTCCCACTCCAGCCTAATTCCCTTACCTGTGACACTGAGCTTGAGGTAAACATGTTGCCCAACTGGCACCTGAAGGTGAGTACTTGGAGGCAGCATCAGACAGAAAAGCCTTGTATCATGAGTAACATCTTCCTTGGAAATTAATTGGCACTTTCTATAGTACAAACCTGGAAGGCAATACAACTAAGTCACTAAGTGAAAACCCACACTCCACTCTGCTCTTTCAGAACTTCAGTTTCATTAAAATGCCTACACAGCTCTAAAACTCATTAACTTTACAAGGCTATTCCTATTTCATTTTCTAAGATAGTTTATAAAACATATAAACACATCTATAATTTGAAAAAAGGAGAATAATATAATAATTTAACAAAATGAGTATTTTTCTTCATTCCTGTAACAGCACATTAAAAACATATCTCAAGAAATTAAAATCTGATTTCTTCTTATACTTGTTTTGTAAGTAATTCCGTATTTCAGGCTTTATATTTACAATGGTATTAACTGTACATATGAAAAATATTTGATAAAGATGGTCACATTCTAAAGTCTTTTCTTTCCCAATGAAAAAGATTTGAGAGTTATGTACTTGGAATTTAACAGTACTATCACTGTCAAGTAGGCTTAGCAACAACTCTGATGAAAGAAAGAAAAATATATGTCATTCTATGCTTGTGTATATGAATTGTACATATACATGAATCATAAAACATCCTGTCTAAATGATTAAATAAAAGATAACCTTTTACTAAGTGACAAATGAAGACATATATTGATTTCAGTGAAAGGAATCAAGCATTTCTATAAATACTAGAAATATTTTAATAACCACGCTTCCAAAATAGTTTATACTACACAAAACAATTAACATTTATTAGGATTAGTTACAGAAATTCTAAAACATTGTCATTTATAAATTCTCTTTTGACTATAAAGAGTATACCCCCAAAGACTCACAATGGTTTATCTCCTCTCTCAGAAAATAGTATTTACAGAATTAGAATTGATTAGTAATACATTCATTCTAATTTTTTTCTCTCTTTCCCTCTGTCTTATCTAATAGTATGTAACTTGGTGCAGAAAAATTTATTCCAGATCACAGGAAATGAAGGGCCTCTAAACTAGCAATCAATGTTTAATGGAAAACTAGAATTCATACACAACAGTAGTTCTCAACCTGTGGGTCATGACCCTTTATGGGTTGAATGATCCTTTCACAGGGGTCACCTAAGGCCATTGGAAAACATAGACGTTTATATTACAATTCATAACAGTAGCAAAATTACAGTTATGAAGTAGCAATGAAAATAATTTTATAGTTAAGGGTCACCACAACATGAGGAACTGTACTAAAGGGTCACAGCAGTAGAAAGGTTGAGAACCACTGCTGTAGATATTTCTTGGGCCCCATATTGAGAATACAACCAAAAACTCAGTTGTTATATGTCCAAATAGTAAAAAATTATACATAAGCCAAAAACTGTCACATGTAATGTGTTCCGTATTGCATCTTTAAAACATATCACACATTGAGATAGCCGAGGCCTATAGCCCAACTCTCCCCTCTTTTCTTTATCCTCACCTATCACATGTGAGGTTTACACAGGGATGGATGAATGAACCCAGATGTTCAAACTCATCCAAGTTCTTCCATCAACAATCCTGGGTACTCCTTGGATACAACTAGATTTGGACCACTGGGCAGGGAATTTCAAGGTTTCAGGTCCTGGGAGAATGGTGTTGAAGAACAGAAGGCAAAGTCCAGGTACATACATCTTAGCCTTGTACATTCCTGCTGTGGGATGTCTTTCTGTATGCTGTGAATATGTGTGGCTCCCATTGGATAATAAATAAAGCTGTTTTGGCCTATGGCAAGAGAGCTTACAGCCAGGCAGGAAATCCAAGCAGAGATTAACAGAGAAAGGCAGAGTCAGGAGAGATGTCAGCCCGCCACTGAAGGACCAACAAGATGTCAGCAGACCAGTAACTCCATGGCCACGTGGCAACATACAGATTTATAGAAATGGGTTAATTCAAGATGAAAGAGCTAGCTAGCAAGAATCTTGAGCCACAGGCCATACAGTTTGTAATTAATATTGCCTCTGAGTGATTATTTTATAAGCAGTTGTGGGACCACAGGTGGGAGAGATTCGTCTGGACCTTGGGCCAGGTAGGACCGAAGAAACTTCCGGCTATACATTCCTCCTATGTGGGGAAGGTGTAACTAACTGGAAAACAGCCTTATGCACTCCTCAAGTGAGGAACCCTGGGCAGGTGCCTTCCTTTCTTGCCTATCCTAAGGGCCACAGTTCTTCCATCTAATTACGTATTATATATAGCACATGTCATCCTGACTTTACTGATGGATGGAAACTACTCATCTTTTGACTTGCAAATTTCTATACTTGCCACAATAGATTTGCTAAAGTAAGTACCCCTTTTTTCAACTGTACTTAACCCACTAGGGAATCTAGGTTACTGTGACATACAGACTTCTCACATTAAGAGCATGGATACAGAATTCTTACCATTCAACACTACTGAGATAATTGCATCATTTAACCTACAAACTGCAGGCTCAGTTTCATATGACCTTCCTCAACATAGGCCCTACAACTTTAAAAAAAATTAAGACTTTATCTTGCAGTAGTCCTGTGGGGCCAGACAGGATGAACAGCATGGAGCTGTGGTGCAGAGAGATGGATGTAGAGCAGATGGTACAAACTACTGTGGGGACAACAGCATTTCTCACCTGTCAAGCTTTGGCTTTGTAAGAATAGATGATGACTTAAGAAAATGAGCAGCTGAAATTAATACAAGATGGTAAAACAAAAAACTTCTGTTCCAAGTACCTAACCTTTTTTTAAATAAAATACATATAATGTTGGCATACTCAAGGTAACACTGAAATACTGAGGATAAGATAATTGAAGAATATATATACATATGTGTGTGTGCGTGTGTATATACATATGTATATGTATATATATATATATATATATATATAATTTTGCCTAATATTGAAAAAAGTTGTATTTTTCATTCTGAAAAACTAGGATTTCATAAGCTAAGCCAGAAAACACTGGAGAGTCTCCAACAGAGGAAGAACAGAGCTGCTTTGGACTGAGGGTCTGCACTGCCCCAATCAGGCCAGCTTCTCACCCTTGGCATACTTTTAAATCTTTTGAATCTTATTTTCCTGCTGGAAACAGAGTCCAATATAGGTTTAAAAGTCACAGGGCTTCTGGTGAAGATGGGAGACATGAGATGGACATGAATAGGCCTTTGCAAGACACTCGAGGACCAGAGCAGATGATTTAGTGTCTTCCCAGTCAGTGTAACAAGGTGCAGATGTACAGACTATCCCCTCCAACCTCTGCGACTTCATACTGTTCTGACCACATTTTCCCAAAGCATTCTTTGTTGCTATCTACATATTTTCTCATCTCCTAATTTACAATCTTTAATCATTCATTCCTAATAAAAATTTCTTGAACCAATGTACGTCTCCCAAGTTAGACATTTAAAAATGTAGTTTATAGAAAATAACCCAAAATATACTAACATAAGCTATTTTAAAATATATAGATATTAAAAATATACAGATATAAGTGCCTAAACAAGTCCATGTCCCAAACACCCATATCCTACACACCCAGCACAGCACACTCCTGTTAGAAATTCTCACCGCTCTACAGCAGTGGTCAGTCTAGCTTCACCTTGCTCTGTCCGTTTCTAAGGCAGTAACCAACGATCAGTGAGACTGACTGCAGTCAAAATGTTCTGAACATACGAGACAAACTACTCACACATGTCGAGACTGATAAAATAACTCATTCATGAGGTCATTAGCATTTTATTACATACTGAAGAAACAAAAGCTGAAGTCTTATACACATTAAAAAGAATTACTGAATGTATTCTGCTGTTCATTATTCAGCCTTTCCACTAATTTTGAAAAGGCTTCATTTAACTTCTTGTATTATAGTGTTATTATTCTAAATCAAATCATTCACAAATAATATGAATATAAACACAATGCATCTTCAAGCACTAAGAATGACAAATGTTATAAGCATATATCTATTTACACATTGGGATAAAACATGATGAAACCAAATGATCAAGAGAGTGAGAATTTTCTTAAATGATTTTCAAATTAGTATTATTAAGTTGATTCCTCTTTGTTTTAACTAGTATTGTTAAAAATATATTCCTGTCTGGTTTTCTAAATTTTGGTGACAAACCAGATCTGGACATGAGTGGGGGTATTGAAAGGCGAGGGTCGAGGGAAAGAGAGCTTGGGGGAGCGGGAGATCCCAGCTGGATCAACAACAGAGAGGGAGAACAAGGAATAGGAGACCATGGTAAATGAAGACCACATGAGAACAGGAAGAAGCAAAGTGCTAGAGAGGCCCACAGAAATCCACAAAGATACCCACACAACAGACTGCCGGCAATGGTCGAGAGACAGCCTGAACTGACCTACTCTGGTGATGGGATGGCCAAACACCCTAATTGTTGTGCTAGAAACCTCATCCAACTACTGAGGGATCTGGATGCAGAGATCCATGACTAGGCCCTGGGTGGATCTCTGGGAGTCCAATTAACGAGAATGAGGAGGGTTTATATGAGCGAGAATTGTTGAGACCAAGGTTGGATAAAGCACAGGGACAAATAGCCAAATGAATGGAAACACATGAACTATGAACCAATGGCTGAGGGGTCCACACTGGATCAGGCCCCCCGAATGGGTGAGACAGTTGATTGGCTTGATCTGTTTGGGAGGCATCCAGGCAGTGGGACCAGATCTTGTGCTCATTGCATGAGTTGGCTGTTTGAAACCTGGGGCCTATGCAGGATTGTTTGGCTCGGCCTGGGAGGAGGGGACTAGACCTACCTGGACTGAGTCTACCAGGTTGACCTCAGTCTGTGGGGAAGGCTTTGCCCTGGAGGAGATGGGAATGGGGGGGGGGGGGGCGTTGGGGGGAAGGTGAGGGGGACGGGAGGGGGGAGAACAAGGGAATCCGTGACCGATATGTAGAACTGAATTGTATTGCAAAATAAATTAAAATAAATTAAAAAAAAAATGTTAAAAAAAAAAAAAATACTCCTAAAGCCTATTAAATGTTTTACTACTACAAACGGATGGAGGGAACTGCTTCCTTCAGCTATGGCTTTAGATTTAAATCCTGGCTCTAAACCTCGGGAAAATCTTTCTCAAAGGCTAGATCCAACAGAATTTTGGAGAACAGAGTCTGTGGCAAGACTGTTACTAATCTGAGTCCTTTGATGCCTTCCTGTGCCAACACTGTTTTACTGAAGGGCCAAAGTCATTTCAGTCCTAACTGTTTAAACTGTTTTACACTGTAACATAGCAGGAATTTCTTACTTATAACCTCATTGGTTTGTATTGTTCTGATTTCATAGTCAGGTAATTCTCATGGAAAGGGAAGCAGGCTAGCAAGATGCCAGCGCATATCCAAGTTACCTTGTAAACAACGGCTTTTCGCCAGCTAAGTAGAGAGTGACAGGGTGAAACATTTCCTGCTACTCACAGAATTTACTCATTTCTAGTCATTATGAATGTTTTCCAAGGTGACAGAGACGCATAGATGCACAGGAAAGGGCTGGGGAGGTGACAGTGGCTCTTTCTACAGCTGCAGGGTCCAGGCCCCACAGGACACCTGAGAGAGACGACTGCTCACCATATCCCAGAAAACATCCTTACAGGTGTATACTCCTTTGTACACACGTGTCAGCGGCTAAGAAGCCCGGGTGAAACTAACAGTAAATATTACAGTAAATATGAGCAATTGCATATAATTGAATGTGACCTTAATTTAAGATTAAAGGGGTGTGTGTATGTGTGTGCGTGTGCGTGTGTGTATGTGTACAAGTACATAGGTATGTGTTAACCTAAAGGGTCACACGTGGCTGTTCACATTTCAAAATTATGAGATGATTAAAAAATATTTTCTCTTAAGACCAATTTTCTGGGTTGTTTATTAACAGATCTTTAAAACCTTCCTTATCTGGTGATCAAAGTCTGTATTACAAGAAAAGGCAAATAAATAAAACATGAGATTAGGACTATAAAAAACAATGGTCCTCAATGTGTCCATGCATGCATACAGGCACATACATGTGCACAAACATACATACCACTATTCATTCATAATCTTCATTCTGGGGAGAAAAGCGCAGTCAGAAGCACCACACAATATGAAAAACATTAACAACTGCATCTGGAGCAAAGGTAAACAATGGATAATTTCCATTTTCTGATTCAAGTGTTTGACTGTATCAGAAGCTTTGACAGCAATAAAGATTTGCCATGAGAACACAATGTACTATAGGTTTTTAACTTACATGACTGTTTTCAAACTAAAATTCTTTTACCTAAGAAATATTCTAATCTTAAAAAGTCAATAACACACATCAAAAAACTAGGAACCATATGGTGGTTGCCTTGTAAATGCAAGGTGGACTGACAGAAAGTCAGTAATATATTGGCGAGATAAAAATTCAGTTTCACTACAGTTTAGGTCACGATTTAAGAAAGGGAAAGGAAAAACTGTCTTTGCTCATTTGTCAAAGAAAATGGTTGCCTAAACATTGAGCTATTTCCAAAGCAGGAAATGTACTGTGCGCCACCCCAGCTCCAAGGTCATGCAAGAGCACGGCTGAAGTTTTCCTACTTGATTCTCCTTTCTTTTCTTTTTTTAAATTCGAGCTTTCTTTTTTAATGGTGGCTCGGGACTAAAAGAAACTTACAGCAGAGATAAAAGAGTTCACAGAAAGCCTCAGGAAATTACAGGGAAAAAACGGTTCAATGACTGTCATTCTATCATCAAATGGAGGTCAGCCTTCGTTTTCAGAATCATTGATTTTTGGCTAGGCTTTTATCAGGCTGGCTAGGACTTCTCAATCACTAGGTGGTCAGATAATCCTGGACAACAGGCTTCATTCTCTTAGGAGCTCTTTTCTCTTGGCAGTGTCCGATTCCGATTCTCTGCTGGATTGCAGGATCATGCCATATCTTCTGTGATCTTTTCCTACCTAATACCATAAAGGCTCACATCACACCTCCTGCTATGGCAAAATCAAGTTGTTTTAAACTGTCCCACATAATGCTTAAATTTTCCCCCCTGTAACCTGTACAATGCTGGGCACAAGAGAGCCAGTAAGTATGTGCAGCTTTCCATCAAACATCCCCGAAGAGTGTTGCTTTTGTGAAAGCTATGGATCCCACTTTCAAAACACTCAAGTCCGCCTTCTTCAGGTAGTCACTCAAGATCAAATTCACCTGTCAGCTTACTTAGGCTCCCTTCAAGTGTGCTGTGTTTGGACTACATAATTCACCCTTGTTGGCTTGTTTCTCCATAGGAGTCTCTCTTATTTGATGTTTGTATATGTTCTCGTTCCTTCCTGGGAATATAATTTCTGCTTCTGCTTCACAGCACAGTGTCTAAATCAGCCTTCAACATAGGACATCACTCAAAAAAACAGGATGTCTACTACAAACACATTACCCACAAACATAAACTTGTAATTGAGAAATAATAAAGATACTGGCTTTTGCCTCCAGTTTCTGACACAGAGCTCCTATAGCTCTAGTTCTTAAAGTCTTTGTAATTTCCTAAGTGATGGGTATGTCTGAGATAGAATTCGAAATCACTCGGAATGTCCAGTGGGATAGGATCTCTTGTTCTAAGGAGTCAACCTTTAGAAGATGCTGTACAGACTCTGGGTAGGGGCCTGAATGCTGAACTGATAACAATGGCCAATAATATAGCTCATTACGCTTAATGAAGTCTCTCCAGGAACCCCAAAGACAGAGTTTGGAAAGCCTAAAGATTGCTGGACACATGGGGTGCCCAGAGAGGGGCACAGCTACAGATGGCATAGAAGCTCCATACCTCTTCTCACAAGCCTCTAGGTACTTTAGAATAAATGCATAAATATAAACGCTTGTCTGAGTTCTGTGAAACACTCTAGCACTTTTTTTTTTTAAATTCAAGGTAGGGGTAATGAAAAATCTAATGTCAGTTTGTTAAGTACAGAATCTGGGAACTATGATGGGCACCTGAAGTTTGGGAAGTTTGTGGGACATGCCCTTAAACTGTGGGGTCTGCACTAGCTCCACTTAGTGTCAGAATTGATTTAGACTCTAGGATACCCAATTGGAGTCAGTAGGTAATCGGTTGTTGGTGGGGACAAATTCCCACACATTTTTAGTTCTGTGTTGAACAATGAGAGTAAAAAAAATTAATTTGACTTTCCATAGCTTGTAATAATTTTAAAAATTAAAAGATGGTTAGCTGAATACAAGGAGTAACCATCTGAACCCACTAAATGATTGCCATAGACTGTGCATGCATGCTTGGTTGTTCATAAATCTACAAGGCCAGACCGAACAGGAGAGATGAAAATAATAAATGCTGGGAACCAATGAGGCAAGCAGATGACCAGCAACAGACTCAGCAGACCTGAGAAAGTGGAATCCTAAGCCAGAAACGTAAGCAGCATCAGACTGGCACTTAAAAAAAAAAAAAAAAAAAAAAAAAAAAAAGATTTATTTATTTATTTTGTATACAGCATGTATGACTACAGGTCAGAAGAGGGCACCAGATCTCATTACAGATGGTTGTGAGCCACCATGTGGGTGCTGGGAATTGAACTCAGGACCTCTGGAAGAGCAGTCAGTGCTCTTAACCTCTGAGCCATCTCTCCAGCCCCAGACTGGCACTTTTTAATAGAAAATCCTTGAATGTTCTGAGGCTAGCAGGATCTACCACTAACATCAGAGTCAAGGTAGGACGAAAACATTCTGATTAAAAGTTTAAGGGGCTCAGGTGCTCTGCCACCCCCCTTAAACTCTCTCCTGCTTAGAACAGCCATGCAATGGGCTCCCTCGAACCCGAACAAAATAGTACAAATTGGCTCTTAAAAAAGTAGCAGAGGGGTTGTGGATTGGGCATGCACTAGACTAAACTGTGTCCTCTCAACGACAAAACTGTAACACCCAGTACCTTGGAATGTAACTACATTTGAAGACAGGGTCTTTTAAAAGGTACTTAAGGTAAAGTGAGGGCAATAGGTATCCCTTTCCAGTAAGAGTGGTGAGTGACGCCCTTTTAAGAAAAGCTAAAACACACATACACACACACACACACACACTCACACAGTGACTGGACTTATAAACTCCACAACTGAGAGAAAACAAATTTCTGTTCTTAAGCTATGTGATCAGCAGTCATTATAGTGCCTTAGCTAACTAAGATAGTATTCTAGGAAAAAGAAAAAAAAAATGAGGAAGAGAAGGGTAAGACTAAGTCACCTTTACAGAACTGCAGCCTTTTTTTGCAAACAAGGCTTCCAAAAGACCGTGTGCAAGGGAGAATACTGTTCCCTAGAGACTCACAGATTCTGGCATCAAACTTTCCTCAGAGAGAACACCCAACTGCACAGGGAATACACGGGCAACAAGCCCAACCCTTTGTGAACAGCTGTTAATCAGCTGAAACATGAGCAGACATGAGAATCAGAAATATCAAGACAGCATCCGGCACGAAACATCAAAACAAACAGCAACAAGACTGTGAGGCAGAGGTCACACAGGGAGAAGAAAACACTGGAACACATGGGCTCTTTTTCAAAAAGACGGGCGAGAGGGATGGCTCAGTGGGTAAAGATGCCTGCAGTCAAGCCCGACAACCTGTGTTTAATTCCTGGGGCTCATGTGGTAGGAGAACCAAATCCTGCAAACTGTCCCCTGACCTCCACATGAAAGTCGTGTGTGTTTGTGTGTCTGTGTGTGTGTATGTGTGTGTGTGTGCCCACACAGAGACGCATGCCAAATAAATAAATAAAATGCAATTGAGAACCTTTAAAAAAACAAATATAAGAGTACTGCATACCTGTATCTTTCTTTGGAATAAAGGAATCATGCTTCTCTAAGGGATGACCAAGACATTTCCAAGAAATGTTTTCTCTCTTTTGTAGGACAATATCTACTTTTCCAACATTCTCAATGGCCCGTACTGAAAAGAAAAGAAATTTCACTAGTTTCACTGACACTAAATATAAAATTTTATTTTAAAACCAAATTTTCTCATACAGTTACACTATCCTGTTCTTATATAATGATGATGAAAATTAATAGAAAAATAGGATTTTGTTCACTTAGTCAGTAAAATTGGTTTTTGTTTTATCTGATGCTAAATCAGATTTTAGATTCAGATTGGCTTCTTTCAAACCAATTTATCAAGGCCAGATATTATATGTGTGGCTTTCGAGGGGGCACAGACAGAGTCAGGGATACAGATCTAGGCACAACTTGAAGCACAAGTCACACTGAATGGGCCCATCAAACCAAACTTGATTTGTAGTTAAGCCTGAGCAGTCTGTATGAGTGAACTGAGAGCAGACTCGGAAGAATCAGCAGCTAGGAAGTACGTAAGAGTGAAGTACATGGGCACTGCTCCTCGTTGAAAACCTTTTAGACACTCTTCTTTCTTCCTCAGTGACTAGAACAGTTCCATATGTAGGGCCAATAACAGAGCGAGGACTTCTAGCTGCTGACTCAAATCTGATGAGTAAACATGTTTTTAAAGTCATAACCTGGGCTGGAGAGATGGCTCAGAGGTTAAGAGCACTGACTGCTCTTCCAGAGGTCCTGAGTTCAATTCCCAGCACCCACGTGGCGGCTCACAACCATCTGTAATGAGATCTGGTGCCCTCTTCTGGCCTGCAGTCACATATGCTGTATAAATAATAAATAAATAAATAAATCTTAAAAAAAAAATAAAGTCATAACCCACACACTGCTTTTGCTCAGGACCTCAGTATCTATTCTTCCACACGGTGAACTCAAGAGTCCTCCAATAGTGCAACACCTCTTTAAAATAGATGAGCAAAGTGAATTCAATTAAATGATCAATGACTTCAGACTTCACTAGAATAAAAACAAGCTCCTTGAATGTCCAGAGCTTACTACAGTACATGGTATAACCAGTGTGAGAACCTGGAAGCCAGAAACTATTTTGAGTCCTCAGCTCCCAAGGAACCCACACTGCACATGAGTATATGGTAATAATCACTGCTCAGTGTGCTCTGCTCTGGCACCCACTTGAGTGTATGCAGCTATGAAAAGTGTCTGGTCTAGTACATGCCTATGAGCTGCATGTGAGAAACAGGGCAGAGAGGAGTAACAAAAACGAGACAGGAATGTTTTTAAGGGACAGAAAAAGGAGACAAGGAAAAATAGAGATAAGAAGAACAAGGAGAAAGAAAACAAAGAAAAACAGACACCAGAAAGAGTATACTTGAAAATTAATGTATTTATGTCATGAAAAGTATATGTAAGGAAAGTAAGACAAATAAATGCCTGGCCTTTTTGTTCTTCCTATGTGTGTGTGTGTGTGTATACACATAATTTGTTTCTGGTTTTCAGTACTTACCAGAAAAATTTTCTTGAACTTCATGGCTTAGCTCTGAGATTTAAAAAAAAAAAAAAAGCTTTTGGTTACCACCAAAATTCAATTCATAAAATCAATCTTATACCTGTAAGATCATTTTAAATGAACTATTTCAAACTGCTCAAGACTAGAAAAATGTACTAAGCGACTAAAAGAAAATACATGCTCCAAAAGAGTCAAATTACCTAAGTTTCTTCTGTTTTTCCCATACTTCTCCTGATTAACCCACCTTCATTCCAGACTGACAATCATACAGGTAAGAATCAGGCAGAGCAGCTGAGGGAGGAGGCGACACTAGGAATCAGGGCGGTTGTGCAGCCTATGCCCTGTTTACACAGGTCAGACAGAGTCAGCTTAGCTGTGCGTGTGTGTGTACACACACACACACACACACACACACACACACACACACACACACGCACACACACACAGCTGAATACCATTTAGTGCCCCCAAACAATTTTTTTTAGAGTCTATAAGCAAGCAAGCACTTTCGGGTACTGTGGATGCCTTGATTAACAGGAGACTGATCTTTGCACTAACATCTATTCTACAAAAAGAGAAGGGCAGGGTGTGGCTTCACCACTCTCTGCTCTAAATCTCACTATGCCAATATGACTATCCGGCATCTGAATTCTGCACTGTTTCAGTCTTTCCAATGCAGCACTGGCATCCAGGAGTTGCTTTTTTACTATTATTAATTTTGCTCTTTGACAATTTCATGTGTATATATGTACTCTGACTGATTGCAGCTCTACCTTCTCTTCCTTCCCTCTCTCCCCTGTCCACCTGTCCTCTTCTCTACTCATCTCTTTCTCACATTCATGTCTTTTGTTTGTTTGTGTCCCTCTGGGTTGAACCATGGTTGTCTTTGTGGTCTTTGCATTGGAACTATCCACTGGAGCCTGGTTCACAGTGTACATACAACTGAAGGCAGTGGCCCCTTTTCACCCAGATTCCATCAGTAGCCTGTTCTTCAGTAGCAAACGACAGTCCCACAATCCCCTCCCTTACACCCATCTCCCGTCTATGAATGACTGTTGGGAAGGCCTACATTGTGTCGATTCAGTACAAGTAAATGCAGTGGCTGTGAGTCTGTAATTACATTGGTTATGTCATCTAGAGAACGGGATTTCATTCCCCTTCTCCCTATCTTCTAGTTCTTAAATTTCTTCTGCTCCCTCTTCCACAGGGTTCCCTGAGCCTTAGGAGGGGGTGACAAAAATGACTCTTTAGGGCTAAGCCCTCATCTGTCAGTTATTCTCAGCATCTTGGGCAGCCATGAGTCTCTACATTCACCACCATTCACTGTCAATAGAAGCTTCTCTGAGTAGTATTGAGATTAGCCTCTCTATAAGTGGAAGACCACAGATATTTAGAAGGCAGTTTGCCTTTATGTCGACTTAGCTAAAATCAGTAGTAATTTTCCTCATAGGGCCTATGATACACGCAGTTTGGGGCTAGGCTGACAGCACCAGGAATGGGATCCCTTCTGCAGAGCATGCTAAAACCCAGTCAGGGAAAAGTTGATTATCCTATAAAGCCATGCCACTGTTTCCTGGCAGGCTGCAGTTGTGGTCCACAGAGTTCACTGCTAGGGAAAACTCTTGCTGCCTTTTCCCCCTCAGCAGCCTGCACAACACCTCTGGCTCTCTGAAAGCAGGAAGAGGTTGCCAGCTCAATTCCAGCTTGAGTACATCTGTTGAGCTGCATAATTTTTTACTAGATTTTTGTTTTTTTATGTGTGCAGGTGGAACGTCCCCACAATACCCAGTTTCTCCAACCTCATCTGTTCTGTAGCATACAAAGTGCCTTGATGGAATCCAATCAATTACATGTTTTCCTCTGTGCGCTTGAGGCCAACCAGGGGCTATGAATGCAGACACTGAAAGATGCTGCTGTTCATTGGTCCAAAACGTCTCAAGAAAGTAGCTACAGTCCTGAGCCAAATCTCCCAAATCCTTATATAAGCTCCACAATCTGACTCCTCCTCTGTATCACTATAGTCATAATGAGGTATACAATCCCCCTTTTAACAGTCATCCTGTGATATGCTATGGCCCCTCTGAAAGAAGTTTTCCTAGTATGTGTCTAGACCAATGGTTCTCCACTTTCCTAATGTTGTGACCCTTTATTACAGTTCCTCATGTTGTGGTGACCCCCAACCATAAAATTATTTGTTGCTACTTCATACATGAAATTTTGCTAGTGTCATGAATCATAATGTAAACATTTTTGGAAATAGAGGGCTGCCAAGAGGGTTGAGACTCACAGATTGAGAACCGCTGGTCTAGATGGAGACTGGTGGTTAGGGACTCCTTCTCTGAAGAATCTCATTTAGGGCAGTGTGGGGACACGTCCTTTTGGGAACTCCTGTCAGCACTGCTTTGGGGACAACTCTAGTTATAACTCAGTTGGAAGGAAAATCAAGATATGCTGTTGCCAACGGTGAGAGCAGAATTAATTATAAAGTATGTGGAAAGAATAATAGATGCTGGGCACAGAGGTCTCACTCTGTGCTAATGACTAAGGTGATTAACTCTCTCCCATAAGAGGCAAATGGGCTGTATGCTAGTAACAAGAGCCATGAACTAGGGGCTGGGGAGATGGCTTTAAGAGTGCTTGCTGCTTTTCTAGAGGACCCAAGTCTAGTTGCCAGCACCCAGGTTGGACAGCTCATAATCACTTTTAAGTCCAACTTTAGTGGATTTGATGCCCACTTCTGGCCTCTGTAGGAACCCAAACACACACAAAGAGACATACACACATAAGTAAAAACCAAAATAAATCTCTTTAAAATTTTTAATGAAGAGAAGAACTAAGTGTTCTATAGGGAAGGACACATTCCAAGAAAAAAAGCTTTAAGGTTTAAAGTTAGTCATCTATTGGATGAGGCTGGTGTGGGAGGTGGGGGTGGGGAGCTGGTAAAGAAGAACAATACTTAATTCTGACCAAATTCAGAACTAAAGATACTTCTCTTCATTCATAAAAGAAAGTAGTGAACAGACTTCTGAGAGCTGAGAACTTTAACTTGTATTTTGTCCAACCAACTGGCATGTTCTTTTATAAAGAATGCATGTTGAAACCATTGTTGCTGGAGTTGATAAGATGGCTCAGTGGATAAAGGTGCTTGCCATGCATGCCTGACAACCTCAGTTCCTTTCCTAGAACCCATGTTAGGGCAGAAAGGAGAGGACCAAGTCCATAAAACTGCCCTTTGACCTCCATACATGTTACATCATGATACTTAGACGTTCACAATTTATTTAAAAAATAATATATATTTGCTATTGTTTGGGGAGTGTGTGTGTGTGTGTGTGTGTGTGTGTGTGTGTGTGTGTGTGTGTGTGTATCATATCTACTCTCTAACTAGAAAAACGTCATAGTCCTAAGAGGAGCAAACAATGAAATCTTAGATTCAACTTCATTACAGGTGACAAACAGATCCAACATTTGGTCTCTTTGGTTCCAGATTTTAGGGCTGACTTCCTGCCCCTGACAGACCCAAATCAACAAGGCTTATCTCTGGCTGTGAGGAGAGGAGCAAAGGAGTAACATAATACAGACTTGCAGTCCAGGCTGTTTGGCTGCACCCCTGACTTCCTGTGGCAGAGCTGGCAAAGACTGGGCACCCCAGTAAGGAATGCTCAGATGGTGACCAGAGGTCTCTGGGGACTTACTTAGAGATATCAAGTATGAGACTTATAAAGGTGGGCCAATTCTTTATGACTGATTCTGATCACATCTGATTACTTAAAGTTGGGGATCTGTCACACAACAGACAGCACATTAGACTTCTAATTGCTTCAACTTGGAAAGGGGATCATACTGCCATTTTTATCAGCATGAAGGAAAAACACTATAAAATGATCAGAAATGACAAACCAAAATGACAATAGCAGATAAAATATTACAGTCTTCTAGACTGCAAGCCATATTATTGCCATAATGAAAGAAAACAAAATATTCCCATTACTAAAAATGAGATACTCACCAATATGTATAAGATAAGAATGATCCTTGATAACTGCCAGTTCTGCTCTCAAGATGTCATCCTGGAGGTCAACGACTACTGAGTCTAAATTGATATTCTTAAAAGGAAGCAAAAATAGAAAGATTAAAAAGTAAGAACTGCCCCCAAACAACTCCATGTCTGAGGCAATGAGTGAAGTTTTCATGGTACTACTTTACAGATCTCCAAACAACAGAAATATTACTCCTGGTTCTCATTTCTTCCTCATGCAAGTCAATTCCTTCCCTTCTATGAACATCATTGTAATCCTAAGCACACATTTCCTCTGGTTTGTATCCACTGTGGCTATAGTTTTGAAGTCATGAACCCTAGAGACTACCTGTAGAACATTGGTCAGCATCTATTAGTTGCTCAAGAATTTTTTTTGGAGAAACAATGTAGCAAAAAATAAGACTATGACCCAGAAGTCAAGATCTTAGTTGTTCTCATTTTAGTTTTTCTGCTACTGTGTGATGCTGGAAAAGTATACAACCTGTCGATCTCAACCTATCCCAAAATCACTCAAGAAACTTCTTAGATGTCTTTAGTTTCTATGTAGACGTAAGAAATGTGTTGTGGTACTTATTTCTCATAGCATGCATTGAACCATCATTCCATTAGAAATCTTCCCCTTTCCTCAGTCACTGCATTTCAAACCCCACTGAAGCTAGATCCCAACCTCTCTAGGCCCTACCCTTTTGGTTTTAGACTGTGGGATGAGGAAATAATAGCTAGAGGGAGTGGACGGCAGGACTAGTGGTGTGCTGGACCAACTCAGCTTCATGGGGCAGAGGCTGGCCACGCCAGCACAGTGGTCAAATCACTGCTGCAAAAGAGAGGAGGCGGCACTGGCTCAGATCGGGCTCTGCATGCCTTCAAGGAAGCCTGAACTCCTGAAAATCCCTAGCTGTCAGAACTTGCCTTCAAATTCACCAGGCTCCTCAAATGGGGAAGTTCAGCAGGAGTTGGAGGAATGCTTGGGAACACTGTCAATACATTCATCCAACTTTCCAGCTGGACTATCCACCCTGTGAAAGCCAAATCTGTATGGACCTGGCTCAGAATCATATCTCTGACATCTAATAGTACCTTATATAAAAGAGGTGCCACTTGAAGATCTAAATGAATGGGCTCCCTAACCTTTGTTTCAAAGGGGAACCAAATGCCACTAACAGTTCAAGCACATTAAGCCTCAGTAGTATAATCTTTCTAATCCCAGAAAGTGTACTCTTACGGAGAAGTCAACTAGAAAGCACACACAAAGCTTAATAGGTTTAAAGGCTACACAGCATGGGTGGTAACAGCATACCTGCTAGGCAGAATACCTACCTAGGTTCCAAAACTTTGGGGAAAAAACTATTCCTTCTTTATTAAATTGGGAGGACATTGCTTTCTGCCTCAGGTTGATGTGGAGAACAAATAAATTAATATAAAAAAAGATCCTAGAGAAGGATCTGCATATAAACCCAACTAATTCTTATTATTTGTTTTCCTCTTATTTTCAATAGCATGTTTACCTTTTGTTTGGTGTATATAACAATGGTGACTGAGGACTCCGTTTGGAACCAGTCATAGCTGTAAGACAGTAAGAGAAATGAGAAAACATTCAGAATGATGTGCAATAACACATGAACTCAGTCAATGTTAAAATCCACAGCGGGAAATATATTTCTCCAGGTAAAACTCTTTCCTAAATGGTAACCTTAACATGTTAGTCACCATGATATAACTGACATTTACTTCCAAACAGACCACCCAAATGGGCAAAATAAAGGCTCTACATTTTTCTACTAAAATCTTCTCAGAGTAATAACAGAATGCTATTAAGAATGTTGTTAAGGAGCACAAAGAAATCTACATGCTCATCACCTTCCTTCTCTATAATGAAAATATCACTATTTAAGAAATTCTTCTTAAGCTGGGGAGATCACTCAGTGGAAAACGTTTGCTAAATAAATATGAAGACATGAGTTCAAATCCACACTGCCCACATACAGCCTGATGAGGGAGTGCACATCTGTAATCCCAGTGTTCCTGTGGCAAGATGGAAGACAGAGGCAGGAGAATCCCTGAAAGCTCACAGGCCAGTTGCCCTTTGCACATGTGGCAGCAAACAATAGCAAAAAAATTTTTTAAAAAATCCTGTTTCAAACAAGGTGGAGGTGAGGGCCCATGTCCAAGTCTGTGAAAACCTTCACACATGCACAGTAGCAGTGTGTACACAAAATTTAAAAAAGAAATTCATTCTTCAAGGTCACTGGGTCAGTAATAAACGTTAAGATAAAGCCTTCTGTTGTGCTCTAGCTGTTGATCAAATCAATACTGCTGTGCACTGATTACTTACGTGCAGACAACCAAATGGTTCTAGAGGAGGCATCCTCAGTCCCTTAACAAAACTGTCCATAAACTTATTTAATGTGCATAGCAGAACGCTGCTGTTAGAGCAACAGACTAGGGGAGGGGAACAAGAACATCAAAAAAGAACCCCGAGTGCATTTGTGGTATGATGAACAAAAATTTGGTATTAATTACACAAGAAAATTAGTGTCTAAAACATCTTCAAGTATTTCTATTAAAATTAAAATTTTAAAAAACCCACCAAAATAGACATATAAAGATTGAATACCGAAATAAATGATGGTATGTGATGAAATTAAAAAAAAATGCTTTCACAGAATAGTAACAACAAAAGATATTGCTCACAGACTGTAATATCAATACTATAAAAGCAGTGTGGAAAGGTAGTACATGAATCAGTTATCCACAATGATTTATGTCTAAGGTTTAATGCGACTACAACTATTTTTTGTGTTTCTATGTTTTCTAAATTGTCTACCCTGAATATAAATTTTATCATCAGAAAAAAAAATTTTTTTTTTTTTTGAAACAGGGTTTCTCTGTGTAACCACCCTAGCTGTCGTGGAACTTGCTTTGTAGACCAAGATGGCCTTGAACTCACAGAGATCTGCCTGCTTCTGCCTCCTGAGTGCTGGGATTGAAGGAGTGAACCACCACCACCTGGTCGCCACCTCCCCAATTTTTTTAATAGTGTTTAAAAGGGATCAAACTTCAGTTATCTAAAAATCACTTATGGAACAGCCTCACTCTACAGCTGCATCTGATCGTGAGGTGCTGCCATTTGTGTGCTAAGTGAAACCAACCCCTGAGCTGGGTGTTCCTCCTGCAGTGTTGTGGGTTTGCATAGAACTGCTCTCACTTCGAAATGTAAAAAGAGTGCATACCTTGGAGAACTAGGGCCTTCCTTGGGCAGTGTATCTGTCACTTGACTCTTGGGAAGCATGCCTTCACAAAGAAAAACAGTAATTTATCTACACCACACTTAACTCATGTACACACACACACACAAAGGACATTTAACAAATGTGCTACCAAATGCATTTTCATAAGAAAAAGAGAGACCCTTGTCACCAGCATGTTCTTTATGTGTTTTCCAGCAGCTTGCTCTCTCTCCCAAAGTTAGCCACTATTGTGACTTATGACACCAGACTAGTTTTTAAATTGATGGACATATATTAGTGGCACTATATAATATATAGAAAAGGGATCATAAGGCATGGTTTATTTTGATCTGGCTTTTTTGTCCATCCTTGTACATATTTACAGTTCTGACAAGTCAAACCTAGAATTTCCTGAGACTTTAGCCATTCCGTTAAGTGTGTTCCTTTTTATACTGAAAAGTATTGCATTGTATGACTTAATCACAATTCACTCACTCTTCTATTGATAGGCATTCTGGTCACTCCTGTTCAGGAGCTTTTATGCAAGTTATAAATTGGTTATAAATCTTCTTGCACACCCCAATGCACATTCTTAAAGAACAAAATCTATATTTCTGATGGGCATATAATATGTATGCAGGTTTAGCTTTAGTCAAATGGTTGTTGTCTTAGTTAGGGGTTCCATTTCTGTGACAAAACATCACGACCAAAATCAGCTTGGGGAGTTTATTTCCACTTGCGGTCCCCCAGTACAGTCTATCACTGAGGGAAGTCAGGCAGGAACCTGGAGGCAAGAACCAATGCACAAGCACAGAGGAGTGCTGTTACTGGCTTTCTCTTCAAGGCTTGCTGGAGCCAGCTTTCTGATAGAACCCAGGACCATCAGCCAAGGGACGACACTACCCACAATCAGCTGGACCCACCCACATCAATCACTTACTAAGAAAATACCCTCCAGGCTTGCCTACAGCCAGATCCGATGGAGGTACTTTCTCTATTGAGATTCTCTCCTCTTAGGTGGCTCTAGCTGTACCATGTTGACTTACAACACCAGCATAGTTGTAGGAATTGACACATTTTACCACAGTGCTTCAGTATTGCAGTTCTATTAGCTCACCAGCATGGTATTCTTTTTCCATTTTATTCATCCACGTGGGTCTATATCAACAAGGCCTTTAAGGGCCCACAGAAGCTGGTTTTCAAGTCATTTCAGAAAGCTCTGAGGCAGGGAAGCACTCTGGAGAGTCTGCAAGCTCTAGTGTTTTCTCCCTCAAGAGAACTGTGTTATTTGTGCCTGGACTGCTGGTAAGGAACTTTTGAAAAGAAACCCATCAATTGTGTTACCATTTCTCAAACTACAGGAAGAAACAGCCAGTTAGCCTCAGAGCTCCCAGACTAGTCAGTCTTTACAGGAAGCACCTTCCAGATGAGCTGGGTTTTCAGAACTTCCCTGTAGCCACAGGCTTAGGACAGAGCACAGACACAAAACAGCAGTACTGTTTGGAATGAGGCTCCTGAGGGTGAGGACCATCTGGTCTGTTCAGCTTTCATCTGTCCACTGTAACTATGCAGAGCACACTACGTTTTCAGACCAAGAGGCCTCCGAGATGTGACCACAAGGCCTCGTAACTAAAGCCAGAGCCACAAGAATTATTTTTTTCTAAAATGAATACACCAAAAAAGATAGTCTAATTAAATTATTTGAGAAGTACTAAAAGATATTTTATTAAAAGATTGTCATTTCTCTTTTGGTGGTCTCTTAAAAAAACACGCATCAAAACAAATTTTCTGTGAGGAAAAGGTATCAACAGAATTTATAAACTTCTAGTCATTTTTGTTCTTGTACGATCTTGTATGATTAAGATCAGAAAAGGGCCGGACTTAAGGTTGGTGCCAGCACGGGGACCTTATGTGAACCACTGCTTTTTCTCCCTCAAACCACAGGAAAGCACAAAGGAGACCACTTCCAATTACCTTTGAAAAATCAAGAGAGTAGAACAGAAATACAACTCATTAGAAAAGCAATGCCAAGCCGGGCGGTGGTGGCGCACGCCTTTAATCCCAGCACTCGGGAGGCAGAGGCAGGTGGATCTCTGTGAGTTCGAGGCCAGCTTGGTCTACAGAGTGAGATCCAGGAAAGGCGCAAAGCTACACAGAGAAACCCTGTCTTGAACCCCCCCACCACACACACACACAAAAAAAATTAGATAAGCAATGCAAAACATGACAGAACCTATCCCAATTTCAACATGTGCAAAAAGAAACCATAAAACAAATCTTACACCCATCCTTCTGGGAACACGGCAGTAAGTCTGAGTTAGAGCAGAGTAAGTAAGGTGGTCCAAAAGAACGTCTCCCTCTCAAAGTGCTAGCAGAGACTGGCATCAGTTTAAGGGGTCTGGGCTCTACTGTAAAATAAAACTCATCTGTCTCACTCAGGATTTTAATCAGCTGTTGGAACAATAACATAGAAAGCAGGCAGATCACATTTGCAAACCTACAGGATTACCACATAGACTTAGCTGAGCCAAATGTGAGAAACAGTTACAAAATATAAAAATATACATATATACACAGATACATACACACACACACACACACACACACACACACATATATGTCCCACTATTATACAGAATCCGTGTCACAACATGTAATGGGTCCACACTACTTGGAGAGTGATATGTTCCACATTTAAGGCTATCTTTAGTGACGTGTTAAACATGGTACATCTGAAGTGAAGATGCTGAAAGCGACATGTGGCAGGCAGGGAGGATGGCTGCTTCTGTAGCATCACAGAAGAGCCAAGAATCAGATGAAGTCTAAGAACAACCCTTCATTTACTGCATTTACTGCAGTATTATACTATAGCAACTTCAAACACCATAAAATGCAAATTACAGACTGTTTTCACACTTTAAAGGATGATTCTACTGAAAACCTAGCTTGCTAGCTCTATTTCTGTAACTTTGTTTTGCAAAATGGGAGGAAAAAAAAATCCGGATCTACAGGTACAGAGGAACCCCATGCATTTCAGGAATCAGTATTGACCACCACACAACAACTGGGTGTAAAAGGGGCAGTGTCAACTGTGAGGATGTCCGTGCTGCTCAGTGAAGGAACAGTAGATTAATAAACTACTTGAATCTGTGTCCTAAAACACCAGTGTGAACTCACAGGCATGCCTAAGGGACCCACCTTGGTCCTGTTTTAGTCACTATGAGTATTTGTGCTTTGGGCTTAGAGATTTCATGGAAGCAATTGTTTTAAAAGTAATAATTAAAATAAGGGGCCCATAAAGTTCTAGTAAATCTCTTCAGTTTGGACAAACAAAGACAGCTTTTGCATTTTTTAAAAAAATCTAAATACTCCAGACAATTCTGTGAAGCAATATCACATATAAGCATATGAATGTGAGTCATTTTTATTATTAATTTATATGACTTACCATTTAAGACTCTCTTTCCTTCATGACAGTCTGCATGATGATTTGGGAAGGAAAAAATCAGGTCAGAATACTATAACATTAAAGAGATCTAGTCATTTTTATTGGTTAAACTATGAACTGTCTCAAAGGGCTGATTTCTTCTAAGGCCAGAGGACAGAAATGGGGCTATGACTTGCAAAGTCTTTGTTTCCAGTAAGTCAGTTTGGTCTCTGGAGACTATCAGGCCACTTCTCCAGGACTCTGTGAGTGTGAGTGTATGTGTATGTGTGTGTGTGTGTGTGTGTGTGTGTGTGTGTGTGTGTGTGTGTGTGTCTATGTGCATAATCTCCTCCCCAGTATCTTGGTCAATTTATTTCTTGACCCCTAGCCCCAAGTGCTGGCACTCAATCTATGGACTCTGAGAATGCTAAGTATGTGTTCTACCATTGAGCCACAGTTAATTTCTCCAAAGAGCACACACACTCCAAGTTCTGTCTTGTCTAAGATGTCATATTCTAACTTTGTATAAAGAAAACAGAATTTACTAGGTTATATTCTATAAAATACAAATATTAACACTCAAAAAATGTTTTATTATCTATTATCAGTCTGTTTATATCTGTATCTATACTGTTATAAACATAAAGTGGCCAAAATAAGGCAAATACGTTAAGACTTTCATATGTACATATAATTATTATTAGAGTTGCAACCCAGAAAAATCTCAATAGATATTTTCTTGCAGGATAACAGCCAACTCACAAAAGTCTAATATATCTTAGTAACCACAACTGCTACACAATTATGGTAAAATAATCCCCTCAGCAAGTTGTTAGGAGATTTAAAAAGTTTTAAAGGACAATAAACTAAAATAATATATCCCAAAGTCAAACTGAAAGGTGACACATGGTAGAATGACATTACCTTCCTTTAAAGAAAAAGAAATGTGCTTAAATCAAAGAGCCCACCCCCACCCACCCATCCCTCAAACCCATGGCCCTTCTTTTTTATCCTTCAACGTGCTGGAGTTACAGATGTGCGCCATGCTCTGCTTTCAAATTTTCTGTCTTCTAATTTCTAATAATCCAGAATCCCATACACACCTCTAACTCACTCATCCAACAGAGTGACCATGACTAAGAAGACCACCTTGTTGTTGTTCCCCCTTTTAGTCAAAATAATTCTATAAATAAAAGAACTCTTACGATATGCAACAAACTACTGCCTTTCTCTTCTTCAAGAATGAAAATAAGAGGCCAAGCTCTAGAATAATCCAGAGCTCTTCAACAAAGCCAAGAATGAATCTGTCTCCCCTGAAAGAAATCCTGCCCTATTTTTCTTGACATGCTGTTGTTTAATGCTTCCTAAAAACATACAAGACTTAAAACACCATAAAAGCTGTACCTCAAATGGCTACTGCTTATCACTGTCTCAGAAACGTCTAGCCATTGCCATCCATACGGAGCACTGATGTCCACTGCCTGGGGCTAACTGTCCTCCATCAGTTTTACCTGTATGGCTACTGCAGCTGTGATCATCTGCTTTACCTGAGAACAAACAGCAAATTCGCAGTACTGTATATTAAATCCATCTCATTGTGTTATAGAGCCAGCAATCTGATAAATCTCATTTGTCATGAAAAAATTCTGTTTTTACCCAAAGTACCCATAGATTTTGAAAAATTACTCTATGTAATTTGTTTCTAGGAAAAAATATTACATCAGAGGACTATTTTCTTAATATGCACTGAATTCAGTCTGTCAGAACTTAATGGATTCTGCAGAAGTATCCTTCCCCCATTTTTTTAATATAAGAAATTCCAGTGTGAAGAAAGTTTGCTCTTAAATTATTTAAATTACCTTCAGAATTACACCAGTCTAAGTTTTAAAAAGCTGAGCCATATAAACTCTTTTCCATGTTAAACACATTTACATCTGCTTCATTTTAGTTGGAAGAGAAATCTTTTCCCTGAGAAGAAATCCAATATTCTCTCTTGATAACTAGTTGCATCATTTAGAAGTCTCTATGAAAAACCAAACTGAAATCTCTTCCTAATGTTGGCTAAATGGCAAAACTCTGCCCGGCCAAATCCTCTCTTCTCGAAGAGCTCAGTTGCTCGGAGACTGCCTTGGCAGCCAACAGCACTTGGTACTTCTTCAGCATGGCAGGGTAAGGGAAACAGCAGATTAGAGACAGGAGTGACAAGGATGAACATACACATGTCCCCAAAATCAGCTCTGCCAGAAAGCAAAATAAATACTAACCATATAAACATTAGTCATTGCAACACTGCAAAACACAGCTGCAATACTGCATAACACAGCTGCAATACTGCAAAACACAGTTGCAACACTGTAAAACACAGCTGCAATACTGCAAAACACAGTTGCAACACTGTAAAACACAGCTGCAACACTGCAAAAACACAGCTGCAACACTGTAAAACACGGCTGCAAAACTGCAAAAACACAGCTGCAATACTGTAAAACACAGCTGCAATACTGTAAAACTGCAACACTGTAAAACACACTGCAACACTGTAAAACACAGCTGCAATACTGTAAAACAACTGCAATACTGTAAAACTGCAACACTGTAAAACACAGCCGCAACACTGTAAAACACAGCCGCAACACTGTAAAACACAGCCGCAACACTGTAAAACACAGCCGCAATACTGTAAAACACAGCTGCAATACTGCAAAACACAGCTGCAATACTGCAAAACACAGCTGCAATACTGCAAAACACAGCTGCAACACTGTAAAACACAGCTGCAACACAGGAAAAACACAGTTGCAACACTGTAAAACACAGCTGCAAAACTGCAAAAACACAGCCGCAACACTGCAAAAAACATAGCCACAACACTGCAAAAACACAGCCGCAACACTGCAAAACACAACTACAGTTCAGATGTAGGGATGTCTCACTTCCTAGCTTGAATTATGTTGATAAAATTCCTTTCCAGGGAGACATATAAACAAAGTCAACCCCTTCTTCCTGTGTCCCAATGACAAATCAGCCTATGATTTCATTACAGTTCACTCTAGGAACTACTGAGTTTTCAGGTTTACTTACAGAGCAAGAGCAGCCACACAGAAAGGTCTGCACCCAGCACAGAAGATAACTTCCCCCATGGCTGGATAGGCAGAGTCCCCTCCCCTAGTTCCTCCCCATCTATGTCCTCTAGCCCTTCTCTGAGATCCCCAAGGCCATGTACAATTAGGGCAGAGCTGCATGCAACTAGCTGGGAAGGATGGCTGATTCTCAAGTGAGTGGTCTATGACTCTCCTTGCCCTTCCTTCTATATATGAACATTAATGGTTAACAACGCCAAACTATGGTGGTCTTTTCAGAGACTCTTGAAGATGACAGTAATTTGGTTCAGAGAATAGTCCTGTACAGCAAAGTAACTCCCTTAAATCTGGCACATGTGCATGCAAATGCATACATACACGAACACCCAAAAATCACACATACAATGAGCACTATGGCCGCAAGACAACTGAGTCAGCACATTCACTAAGACACTTGCCAGTGTCCACACCATGGAGTCTTACTGGACTCTAAGCTTGTGCTTTACTGATCTGAACTGTCTCCATTCTACCAAAAAAAAAAAGCTAAGGCTTTGGAAAGGAACCTTTGACTAACTCTCTTCCAAGCTGAGCCTCTACTGGCAGTCCGCCTATTCCCCAGCTGTCCTGGGCTTGCTGACAGAGCAGTAATGGTAACATGACTCCTTGAAAGTAATGGCTCAGCACCTCAACCTGTAATCCCAGCACTCAGGACACACAGGCAAGGTGATCTTCAGCTACACAGCAAGTTTGAAACCAGCCTGAGCTAGATGAGATCCTATACTAAAATAATAATAGTAAGAACAACAACAACTACTACTACCAATGTATATACAAAGGTTTCTCCATTTCAGCATTAGCGATGTTTTGGGCTGGATAACTCTCTGTCATGGGAGTCTGGCCTGGGCACTGTATGGTAGTTAGGAACATCCCTGGCCTCTGTTCATGAGAATACCAGCAGCATGGAGGATAGTCATAACAAAATGTTTCTAGGTATTGACAATGGTCCTTGAGGATGAAATCAACCCCAATTGATATGCATTAAGAACAAAGGAGCAAAGAATTATTCAAAAGTAGACTCTGTCATCCTTAGTAAGGTATGTGGGCCCATAAGCCTCAGTATTTTTACTTTTAAATTAAGGTGTTAGAACAGCTCTAAATTCCCATACCTGACTGTCCTGTCCCTCTGACTGCTCTAGTCTACGTTTCTAGCTGTTTATAGCCATTCACTGTTAGGAAGTGGTTATGAAACCTAAATACATAAATATAACTATGAAAAGCAAAGAGAGATTAAGATTATTCCTGAGGGTATACTTGGCCACTGGAAAATATCAGTGATTTTTAAACATGGCATTAAAATGTTAAACTTATGATCTAGAACTGTGCACCTCAAAAGAAATATAAAACAACTCAGAACATGATTTAAAATATTTTAATAACCAAATTACCAAAGTAAAGGCAGGAAATAATATTGCATCTGGAATACTAACACCTCATGTGTAATCAAAATAAAAATTACGAGGTACTTCACTTTGATTTTTTTTCATATTAATCCTTGAAGTCCAGCGTGTGTTTACAGTACATCTGATTGGGTACGTGAGCTCAATAGCCACACGTGACTGACAACCATCATGGTAGCCAGAGAATGAAGGCAGAACATCACTCATTTTTCATATTTACCAGAAGATTTGGTGCTTCTGTGATAAAAATTATCAATAAGTTATCTCTATTTCTCCTTTATTATTAATACATCTTTCTAAGGCACAATACATTCTATAATACCTTTTAAACAAAGGACTATAATAAACAGTTGAATTTTTGCCCAATGACAATAACTCCTGCCATAGCTTAAGTTCTGAGTCTGCCAGATTTGTGTTTTCATTCCTGAATATTCAGACATGAATATTAACCATGATCACACTATAATCTATCAGGTAAATTGAGGACCAGAACTGTCTAGTGTGGAAATGCCCA